GCCTCGGAATAATTCTAAACAACACTGAAGGCTTCATCATCCGACATCTTTAACTACATACACAACTAATCAATCCATCAGTTACATAGTTACATAGTTCCGTTTACATCTAGTTTTCTGGAGAATGCTGACTTAATCAGTGTGACAGCTTATTAATCTCTAATGAGAATATTCGTCTGAAAATAAGGTAGTTTTGAAATAATAGAGATGGTTACCGGAGATGCAATTATATCACTCATGAAGAAATTTAAATCATTTCACTTTATCCTAAATACTGCGCTGAAGATGTTGTCCAGAAAGACAACGAAAGTTTCGCAACTAAACCAACCAACTCAGAGAAAACTATTAATTGCATAAGGCAGTCTTGTTCAATCCTAAACGTCAAATGCCGATTTAAAGGTTAAGCAAAATAGATCAAAGAATTGTGTATTCAATAAAGGTGGCTTTAAATCCTTATAAATAGTTCTAAATTGTGTGACTATTCATTATTTGTGAAATATCCTCAGTATAAACGTCGTCCTTACCAACGTCACAGTAACTTGCAACTTTTTAATTCTGGTTGAAACTGGTTGACCACTCCGTTGACTCTAGAATAGGATATCTGATAGAATTTGGAATTTTAGGCTACGACCAGCTGGATGTTTCCATGGCAAAGAAATATAATAATGGTTCATGTTGTATTCATGTTCTCTAATAATAGCATCACTGACAGTATTTTAAGAGTCTTAGCGATTTTAATCTAAATTTGAATAATATGAATATCATATATATGCAAGCCAAGTTCACTTTAAGCAGTTTGAAAAAATTTGGGCATTGGGTATATGATATCCATTAAAACAAAGGTTTCTGTATTTCCCAATGAATGAAAACAAAACAATATTGGTATTCAAGTGTTGGTTTGTAGGGATTTGATTGATTTCAGGATTTCATCATGAGCTAACATTAGTTAGAGAACCATTGGAAAACCTGGGAGTACTGGACAGCTGTTTCGCCCTAGTTTGGGACTCTTCAGCAGTACGCACCCACCGGGATTCGAACCCAGGACCTTCCGGTCATGATGAAATCCTGAGAACAATATTGCTTTTACTGACGTTTCGCCATTTATTGCTATTTAACCAGAATTTACAAAATCTCAGCATATATATAACGAAGAGTTAAAGGGTGAGAAAATATACTTAGGTCAAGTTAAAAGGAGATATTGAAAGTCAAAATAACGATGAAGATCACTAAACCAAATAATAAAGGTAATGGAAAATCTGTTATGGTATCAAACTTGATCATCCCTCGTCATTGTGGGGTCATTTTTCGTTGTTAAGTTGACTAATTGGTAAAGATAATAAAACCAGGTGTAGATTGTTGGTTTTGATAAGTGTATAAAATAATAAAACAGCGTGTGTTCATATTATGATATTACCTGATATGATAAAGCTATTAGCATTAAATAGCCAAACGTCAGTAAAAGCAATATCGTTTTGTTTTTCATTCATTGAGAAATATTAAAGCCTTTATTATGACGAATATGAATTAAAATTAGTGAACCATTTCAAACAGAATGGCAGATTCAGTTGTATTTGAAAGTCTTTGGTTGTAAATATTCAAAGCCTCATCAGGGAGATAGTCCAAGACTTCCAGATTTCTACTTCTGGTTTGGAATTCAATAAACCACAACTCTTTAAAGAATACCATAGAAAGGATGACTAGTCATTTCATGCTTTCTGATTCCTAATAGTTCTGTATCTGATATTGCTTGGTGACACAGTCTACATTCTTAATAACCATAATCTTAGTGTCACTAACTTTCTGAAACAAAATAAAGTTTGTTTTAAAGCCGAATCGCAACAATAACTATCACGTTATTTAAAAACTATAAATAAAAATCCTGTGAAGGAATGTTTTTTCGACAGAGTCATCTTCAAAGGTTATACGTCCATATTTATATTCACTGAACCGTAAAGGTGCACAATAATTGATACTTGGAAGTTTTTGACAAGTGATACAGTTACTTTGAATTGGTTTCAGAAGATAAAAAGATATAATGTAATAATTATCGACATAATGAAAGCAGGGATTTGAAATTTGTTTGGGTGAAATTTGCAACTGAATAAGAAGCATTCTGGATGACTGAATGATTGATTCTAGCCAGCTACAAAGACAATCTATCTAAGATAAAGTTAATTGTTGCAAGATGTAAAACATCACAAATATCTTACCCTCAATGCCTTCAAAGTATAATTCGCCAGGGTCTCAAACCTCACGTCTTTACCTTTTTAGTATTTCTGGGTTCCGAATAACTGTTTTTCATCTCTGAGAAACAATGATGAGTTCTCTGTATCGGTGATGTTCTGTGAAATGTCTTACTTGGAATATATAACTGTAAAAAGTAATCGGTCTAATATCGTCAAATTTCAGGAAGAAGGCCTTCAGCCTACATTAAATGATAAAAGTCTATTACATAAACTTGATAAGTGAGTTGGTGGCATAGCGGTTAGGACGCTCTCCAACCATGCACATGGTCCGGGGTTCAATCCCCGGCCGACGCACTGCTTTACCTCTCTAAGCCAGAAATAATGCTGGTAAAGAGGAAAGGTTGGGCATGTGGCTAGCAACCCCATCCTGTTAAATAAACACTGCTACAGAAACTTCAAGCCACTAGCTTGAAACTCTGTGTTTCACTGGGGAACGTGAAGGAAAAAAACAACATAAACTTGATGCAGTCTTATTTTTTGTGAAATATTGGCAAACGTGAACTCAAGCAAATGTGAATACTCTTCTTGACTTATCATCCAAGGATGATAACAGCTTACAGTACAAATTGATGACTGAGAATGCAAGGTAATAAGAAAATTATTCACAACTACTCTTCATTTCCCCACTTAATTTCCTCCAATAGATCTGAAGTAAACCTGTAAACTTCTATCAAACCGTAATTTAGATATCAGTTACATGATTCTAACCACGCTTTTGCGACGTGCTAATATATCCTTATCTATGCTAATATCAAAATAATTATTTTTTTGATTACAGCGTGATTCCACACTGTATTTTTGGTACAAGTATGGAATTTTCAGCATGGATATCAGTAGCCCAAATTTTGCAGGTCTACCATAGATATCGGATGTGCGTCGACAGGGGATCGAACCTCGGACGATGTGCATGTTCGGCAAGAGTCCTAATCACTATGCCACCGACGCTGTGGTTGGAGTAACTGCCTTTTGTTTGATTGATATAAATGCGGGTGTTGGTTGAGGTCACTCTCATTTTTTTAAAAAGTGAGTACTTAAATTACAGCAAGACGAATTTACTTCCATTTCGTTATCGCCTATATGAATGAGAGGGACGGTAGCAGTCAAGTAGGATTCAAGTTTCCTCGCGTATTTCAAATAACCGCTTCCCTTTGTTATTTTGAAAAAAAAACGAATACATTTGCAGGATAATAGAAGCTTTTTTATTTTGTGGATCCTCTTCAACTGCATGAATCCAAGTAACCGTAATTATTTTAAGAATCAATGGTCTGAAATGTTCCTATATCATGAATTAAAAGTCACTCTGAACGAAGGATACTCTCTTCAATAATTTCTCTTCAGATTCTTACAATTATAAAATATGATATTTGTTGTCGTTACGATAATGGCCAGTTATGCGGTGGATGCATTTCTTTTAACGTAGAATAACAGATTAGTTATGGGATGTCAAAATAAGTAGTCGTATTTGTGTGACAAACGTCCTAGGCTGATATCGATTGCAAAATATTGTAAAAAGGGAGAGAATGTTGGTGATTAGTCATAAAAATTGGTAGAGTCAACCTCTCTTTGCAGCCTCACTTCGTCCTGCTTAATACAGACCACCTTGTACTAGCCACTCACCTGACACCTTCTATAACTTTGAACTGACTTGTCAATTTTCATACCGCACACTCTACAAATCGATTATCATTAATCACCCCTATTCTCTCCTTTTCTACACTATTCTGTAATCGATTTAAGCCTAGCACTTTTGTCACACAAATACGACTACTTATTTTGACATCCCATAACTAATCTGTTATTCTACATAAGAAAATTTATCCGCTACATAACTGGGCATTACTGTGACGATAATAAAAATGATATTTTATAATTGTAAGAACCTGAAGAGGAGAAATTATTGAAAAGAATACTCTTCGTTGAGATTGACTTTTAATTCATAATTGTTTTATTCTTGTGCTTTTGCGTTTCGCTCTGTTGCGTAAAATTCCACTTAATTTTGACTTTTGTTTACTCAGTTAATCTCACCATTATGTTTGCAAATCTCCTTAACTGTTTATCCGTGTCGTAATTTTCTTTACCATTCACTCCCACCATCATGAACGCACCATAATAATATGTCGAAATTCACTGTACTATCTGATCTTGTATTTTGTCTCTAGTCACTCGTTGTTTCCAAGCAAAATCTGAAGTCGACCACCCACACTTTTCTAATTCTACTGCAAATAGTTAGTCTTTTAACAATGAGTAATCTGCGCACTTGCATTATTCTTGGAATTATGTTGCTTATGCTTTCTATCAATAACCTGACATCACTGTGAAGAAATATATTCAGAAATTTTGTAACTTGCAATATCGGCTATTGAAGGAGATCCACAAAGTAAAAAGAGCTCGTATTATCCAGTAGATATGATGGTTCTTTTTTGTTCAAATTTTCCCAGATAGTTAATCTTATGTCATTGTATATAATCTGCTTAGGTGAATGTCATAATCACATAAGATGTTCTGTTTGGCTGTCTTAAAGGTGTTTTGTTAACTCTTTTACCCAGTACGGAGTTTCTCTCAAGTCTTTTACTACACCTTGCATTAAAACACCTCACGACTGCTGTAGTCCTCACGTGTTTTATTGAAACCCGATCAAAAGTAAAAGTATATCAAAATAAACATGTGTACACTGCCTTCCTGTGTAAATATATTTCTATGAATCTAATTCTCTATTGAAAACATGCTTCATTTTCTCATTACTACCTCTGCCAGGTGTATTGACTATGTAGACATGTTTACTACAATTGATCCAGATATACTGGCATCAACAGAGCCCAAGTCAACTTTATCGTCTTTCACTCATACACTTACTAAACATGAACAAATACCACGAAATGGGTCTACAAATCACTACCGTCCAGCTGATTATAGACTTTGTGGAGATTTGGAAGATTTCCCACAGAATGATTTTTATTCAATCAGCTCTATTTTAATACTAATATTTCATACAGCCTCTAGGACATCTGATGTACGACATGGTCAACCAATGGGATTTATCGGTCAGTTTTCCTTTAATCTAAAAAGTACGTTTCGCAGTATTAAAACTTTTGGATATTTTTTCCGAAGTTTCATTTTATTTTAATAAGTAAAACACACTAGTTACACTGTTTGCTGGGGGCAAATTTTTTTTTATTCGTTGAGTTCTGAGAAAAATATAAGGCTTCAACAGTGAGACTGCTTGAAGTCTCAACAGCCATTTAGAATGGTTGACCTCATACCCAACCTCTCCTCAATACTGAATGGTAAACTAGATGAAGTGTAGAAATGTGTCAGCAGGAAAGCAGACTCCAGGCCACATGCACACTTGGTGGTCAGTCTACCACGAAACCACCGACGCCCAATTTTAAGGCAATTTAAGAAAAATTTATTCCCCATAATCATATGACGAAGGTCAAGAAAAGTTTTGAACATTCAGTTTATTAGTTTAATGATTCTCTACCTCCCTAATACTATTTGAGTAAAGCAAGAACAATGGTTTGCACAGGATAAGATGGTACTATAATTCTTTCGTCAATTTCTCATTAGTCCCTAAAACCCCAAAGGAATTATTTGCAGAAGCAACTTCAAAATGCAATTTTCACGTTGTGTCAATCGACAGAGACTTCAAGTTTAAGCAAAAAATTAATGTTTGCATACAATAGTAAAGGAGCTATTTTATAAACACAAGAGGTGAATAAGATGTTTAGTAACTAATAAATCAAGTAACATTATGGTGAGTTCAACTCAAGTTATTGAAAAAAGCGACAAACAAAGTTGCACTATATCGAATGGAAGAGAGTGAATAAAGACATCCAGTTACCAGAGCAAGAAAAGATTGATAACGCCTTCATTGTGAACACAGTAACTGGTTTTCAGTTGCTTGATAAGGATTGCTATTTTTTCTTTTGATAATTTTAAGGGATTTTGCGATGTCTACCACATTGCCCGTATCAAAGAGATGGCCGTCGATGGCATTGTTGAAAGAGTTTTATTCCTTGATACGTAGGCTTTTTGGTATCTGTCTGCTTATGCTTTTTGTTCATGTGAAAAACAGTTTACGATTGTCATAAAGGTCATAAAGCTGCTCTTCGCCTATCGCTCATTCTTCTTTCAGAAGGCATTTACATACGCCATTCAATATACAGATTTTTGTAAAGGAAATGCAGTAACCACTTAGCACGTGATACTCTTCTCACATCAGTCTGATATTGGTATGAAACACTCTCCGACTTGAAGTTACAGTTGTATGAGAAAAGAAAAGTTGATGATGTGGTCTGCTCACATGTTATACAGCTGACCATCAGAAGGCTACAGTTAGGAAAATTCATTTCTGACTGTTTCATTTTAGGCTTAATAATATCCTGTCTTATTTTGTAACCAGAAATGTAGAAGTAGAATGCGAACAGTCATTTTGGAATTTAAAGCCTACCTATTTTGTAAGCAGGTACTTCTGTTTTTGAAATAATGAACAAATACTTTGGCTGTGACAGATGATTTTGTCATCGTGTTTTCTGGTAGGGATGGTTTAATTGCAGAGCATTTCATTAGCCCTGAGTATCTTGTGTTTAAGGATGATAAAGGATTTGTAATTAATTCATCTATTTTAGAGACGCACAACACCAAACATTTTCCTATGAACTCAATAAAAGGCTGCTATCTAGCGTAACCTGAAATCCATTTAATATTCGGCTTCATGTGTAGTGGGAGTATGTCAAAGTCGTTAGACATTATTCCGTCAACCTTAGCATTTAAAGCAAATGACATCACTTTTTGACTACCAAACAAACAAGATGAACTGACTGTATACTGTAAAACACTAGCAAGGGATTATCACTGCTATTGCCGTTATGCATTCCTTGTGTTGTGAATATAATAGAGGCTTTCAACAGAACATTCTCATTTTAGTCCGTTTTCTGACATCCATTTCTAACTTATCCTACGTTACTCACAATCTCATTTCCTCTCCACATCATCTCTTCACTGTCATGATCGGATCGATGTTCCGCAAGTCGCTTTCTGTTCAGGCTCTACATAAGAACCTGAGATATTATATTACTGAGGTGTGTCCTTAGTTCATGTCAGATCCATCCCAATTTCCACTTGCATATTTATTATACAACACGTAGTAAGCGTGTTCATTAAGTTACTAGATATCCATATTGCTTATTCATTCTTGCTGACTAGCTGATATTTTAGTATCGAGCTGCTGATAAAAGTCTGTTGGAAATGAATTTTGTGACGCTTGCTTCAAGTCTCTGGGATATATAGAAGTGGTGATTTGACGTTGATATTAAAAGTTGGGATAATTTTCCTTTGAGCGGAATACAGTTGGACACCAGCGTCGTTTTACTGATTCCAGCTATTAAATCATCAAACATATTGCAACGTACAATTGTTCCTTTTAACTTTTTATAATAACAATAATTATGTGAAATGCAGCAAACTCCTCATAATTCAAATCTTACATGCTTTTGCTTTTGTTATTCAAGGTAATTATCTTTCAGACGGAAAACTTAAAGAAAATACAAAATGTAATTATGAATTTCAAAGTGTGGATACGGCAAATGGTACCCTTAAATACGGAAATTTTTTCTCTCCTCAATATCCAAGTAATTATCCACCGAAAATAACATGTCAGTACAATTTCAAAGCAGAAAAACACGAACGTGTAATTCTAACATTTCGTTCTATTCGACTGAAACCTACTGCACGTGATGATCTTACCGGTAATGTTGAAAGGTAAGTATCTCCAGATTATTATTGTTATTACTATGAGCAGATGTTTCATGTTACATTCGTAAATTTAGAGAAGTTGAAAATGACTGGCCATTGGAATCCATTACAACTAACTGAATGATCCCCAAACTTACCTCGTAATCTGAAAACTCCTGAGCTCAACCCTTGCTGGTGGATTTACGCGCTGCCGGAAAGAAAAGACGCAAAGACTGTTTACCACTCCATGGCTTACAGTGATTCTCTAAGTGAAGTGAGGTTATTGCCAGCCTTCAAATCATTCGACCCTTTGAAAGCCAACATTTGAATATTAAAGTTTAATGCGTCACGTAACATAACTTCATGTTCAATGAAGCATAAGATTACGGCACTAAATAAAAATTAACGGTTATTTTATCTTAGTTTAATTTAACCCTTGTCATTTATTACAAAATTTGACAATGAATATTTGAAAATAATATGTGATTCTTGTGCTTAATGCACATCTTTTTGCAAATAAGTGAGGCAAGATTGTTAAATTCGTGTGAAATACATTCCTTCTTAGATTATATAATTTTACTGGATTTAAAGAAAATACAACTCGTGTAATGTGACATGATGCATGAAATTATTGCGCACCAAACTTAAATTGTCTCAGTAAGTAAGTGCGATGGTGGCACAGCGGTAGGATGATTGCCGACCATGCCTGTGGTCCGGCGTTCAATCCGCGGCCAGGGTACTCGTTTACCTCGCTAAGCCAGTATTAAGACTGGTAAAAAGGGAAGATTGGGCATGAGGCTAGCAACTCCATCCCGTAAAATTAAACATCGATGTTACCGAAACTGCAGCCCTCTAGCTTGAAGCCCTTTGTTCCGTTGGGAATTTAAAGGAATAAAAAACATTTATTTGGTAAACTGAGGCTATTTTGGCATCTTTGGAAGATATCTGTTGTCCCTTAAATACTTTTCGATAGTGAAGAATTCATTATTAACTTCTAATTTTGAAAGATGTTTTATGTGTGTTTAAGCAAAGGGCTAAGTAAACGGCTTTCGCAATCTCTTGGACAAAATTGTTGAAATTCAGAGAGTCATATCCATAATTTCAGAAAGCTGATTAATGGATAAAGAATACTCTTTTCCATAATTTCTGTTTGTTCGTAGAAGTTCGTGATCCAAAAAGTGAAATTTCCACTTTGTTCAAACTGTAAATTCATATGTTCTTTACTAAACGAGTAAAGTGAAAGGGAGATATGTTTATTGTTATTGAATATAATGAATGTCTCATAAATATGTCTTCTATAAAATTTCATCTCATCTATTTCGTGTTTTAGGCTTGTCTGTTCAAGGTATACCAAAACGTTATAAGTAAGGATGTTACCTCAACAATATAAGATGGTGCTTTAAATTCTTGTTAATTTCATTTATGGATAAATATTTTCATTGTGAATGTAAACGATGTCAACTGATATGTGTATTTCATTCCATTGCCCAAATTGAACCACCTAAAATCGCCTTAGGTTGGCAAACTAAAATTAATGTAGAAAACTTTCATTACGTCGACTTCTGTTTTGAAATCTGATAGTTTTCTTTTCTCTTTAAGGTGACAGGTGCACGTGTCGTGAAGCAAGATGCTTTTTTGTGGTAAAACATTATTCCATACTTTGAGGTGAGGTATCCAGTGGCTTCAAAAATACGAAGCGCGAATAAATAAATAAATAAATAGGTTGATTAAAATGATAAGGCTCAAAATCATACTTGAAAAGAAACATTTTGACTTTTTTCCGTTTTTCTTGAATAGATGTGGCACATGGAATCACCTCCCTTTTCAGCATGATTTCATTACTGTTTCTGAAGACTATGAGGAAACCACAAAGACTCTGGCACGAATCTGCAGTAATCTGATGAATATTCAATTAGTTTCGCACACCTCAAATTTGAAAATGGATTTCATCAGTCATAACCCTATATACCAAGGTCAAGGATTTCGAGGGACGTACGAATTTGTTCATGAATCTCGAGTGAATCCTTCACCATTCTTAAGTGAAGGAGAAGAAGATGGACAAGTTGACTCCAGTAAGAATGAAGAAGAAAGTCAAGAGTTATCACAAACAAATACCAACAAGTCTAGATTATTGGTTGCTGATGCTGGTTTCTCTTCATCAAGAAATATGCATTTTCGTGAAGGTGAGTAGCTTCATTACTTAGTGGTTTATATTCTCAAGCTGATGATTTATTGGTTCTCTTCCTAACGTAGAATCTTTGGTGTTTACTTTGTCGTTGAACTTCCATTCTGCCTCAGAGAATACCTTTTTTACACACCATTTTTCTCGACAATGATTATTATTCATCCGTGTACAGGGGCTCAGCAACACACTATCATGTTATTCTGTTATCTGTCACCTCTCTTAACTGACTCCCCAATTACCCACAGGCTTTAATCTCTTCTACAAATGGTCTCTATCCCAAAACTCTGAGAAACCTAGCTTACTGACTTATATCTGTTGGTTTAGCTTGTTATATCACAGCAATAGGTCGTTTGCTGATATACCGAACTCTTGGAGTTCCCTGTTGTTAATCCTTTATGGTTGGTTATATGATCTTTATTCTCCAGCTACTGAATCTGCAGATGAGTGTTTACAGACTGAGATGAACTTTCGGCCAATAGGTCACGAAAACTAATCCTTGGTTGCAAATAATATCTACAGAGTGCGTTTTCTTTCACAGTTTCATTCTTTATGTTTTCCGTAAACATTAGTATCTGTGATTAAAGTGTTTTGCTTACTGATACCCGTTAAAGTGTAGAAATAATCACTCAGTGAATTAATCTACATAAAATGAAGAGATTCTAACCAAAAAACCTTTCTACACACCTTATGAAGAAGGTTTTGTTATAGTGGATGTGAAAGTAATAATACTAATGATTTGCCTTATTCCAAAACAGTATTTATGATACAGCGTGAAATTCTAAGTATTTAGTACAATATTTTGTCCAGTTTACTCAACAGCAACAACAAAAATTATTACAGAGTTTAGGTAACTAAAATCAACAGAAGCAGCTTTCTGGCAGTAAAAGTAACAATAAAGCCGAAAATATACAAAAATATAAAACGAAAGTGGTAATTATACTAATAACCAAAGTGATAAGATAAAATATTGTCACCGTAAATGGCAGACATCCGTTCCATCTGCTCTCACAGATTCCCAGCACTTCCATTCTATTTCTTCTCATTTCTGTGGCTACTTCGGAAGCCTTTCCAGTTTCTTACATTGTACGAACATTCCAGGTACACATCCTTATTTTTGCTTTCATCGTAAGAAGGCACATCGGCTGATTGGCTTCCAGAAGGCTTTCACCAGCCTGCGTCATTTCACTTCCTCGATTCCAGCAAAAAATAAAGTTACTGTTTATATTTTTAGAATTTTTAATATACTGATGCATTGAATCGTCTGTAGCGGTTTGGCTGAGTTTTGGGGGTGTAGTTGCTAGCACCACGCCCCAACCCTCCCTCTTTATCCGGGCTTGGGACCGGTTAGAAAACTAGCGAGCTAGTAATCCAGGCGAGGTTTGGACCCCCGCTGAGGAGGCCACTGGGTGACATAGCGCGCGGGTCAGGCCATTGCTCGAGTGGAACCAGGCTGAAAGGGAAGCGGCGAGTAGGACATCAGTGTGAGGGGGACATGGAGGAGATCGTGTGAAGTGGAGTTGAAACAGTATGGACTAACATGGATGCAGATGAAAAGCACAGCGGAAGACAGAAGTAAGTGGAGAAGTGCAGTTGAAGCCCTATGTTCCACTAGGAACCCCGAGGGAACAATAATAATAAATGGCAAACAAAAACCACTTATTTTGCTGAATCCACATTAAGTCAAACGTTTCACTGTTAACACTTTCTCTATTGCATAGAACGAAGGTTGCTGAAATTTTGTACTTTTTCGCGCGAGGATGTAATCATTTATAATGACTTTCGGTCTTATCAAATGAAATGCAGAACGACAGTTTTGAATAGAGAGACTGCTGAGAGTGAGAAAATATGGGTTAAGAGCATTCCTCTCATGAGTCTCAGTGTCTGTCAACTAAAGTAGTAACGAGCTTACCCTGCGAACTCAAAGAAGTGCTGCGTGCTGGCATCACAAGAGAAAAGTGCAAAATGGCGTTGGAGCCATTACGTATTTGTACACTGGACTTTGCATAACAGATTCCTGGTTGTCTTAATTGCTTTATGTAGTAGTAGGTCAGGAAGAACAATTTCTTAAAGTCAACAGAGTATAGGATGAACAAGAAAGGTTAGAAGATAGAATTATTCCAAGGTATTTTATGCCTCACTTAGTTACAAATAAATACATTCCTTAGCGTACAAATATTAATTTTGCACCCATATTTGATCCTAATTCATTTGACAAAGGCATATGTGAATACACTGGCATCGAATTTAGAAAAAAAAACAACAACTGAGGAAATATCATGCAACATTAAGAAAAAACAGAACAATTTGAAGTTGATTAATGTTATTCTCCCCCAGACAAACTGACAGCCGATAAAAAAAAAGAATACACTACTAGTACTATTTTGGCTATTATTTGTATCTATAAGTGAAATGTGAATCATTACGTTGGAGCCTGATTTATTGTTTTAATAATCACCTTTTATCTGAAGATGATCGTGTGAAAGCTGTTTTCAAGCACCTATCAATGAATCCATTTTAAATGTCATAAATTGTACAGGCGAAAAATATGAAATTAACTAAAGTTGTACTGAATATATACTTTGTAATCTTTGCTATCTTTTTTTACTTCATTCTTTGCGTGATACAACATAATAATTCGACCCAATTGATTTTGCAGTAGAATGGCGTTAGTTTGTAGGGAGTTCAGTGGTTTCAAAACCAATCCGGAACTGATTCAGCTAGAGAACCATTGAAAAAGAGACTTCACTGAACAGCTATTTTGTTTGGGATTACTTCACTGTGTGTACTAATAGTTTCACTGTAGATTGGACCCAGGAACTTCAAGTTGAGCGGTGAGCCCCCTAATCACTCATCTACTCGGATACAATCTAATGACTTACAAACTCGAAATTCTATCATTTAACGAATTTTACACCGTGAATATGTATCAATTAGAGAACGTTTAGAATTCAGGGAATGTTACTTCCATTATCCTGACACGTTTATTATTTTTATCCTCAAGTACGTAAATTCATCATTCTATAGATACACATATAGTTGAAATTTCTTGGTACTGGTCCATTTGGACTAATGAAATGAAGCTGGATCCTGCAGACTTCTAATAATTGTGAAGTAGAAAAAGAAAATCCAAATTTGTTTCTTTTGCTGTTTTATTATTTTTAGAATTATGAATAATTATATACTACATTAGCTGAGGTGTAAATTTACCACAGTCGCTTTCAGGTATTCAAAGTAATTGTGTTATAGTTTTGTGGCTTACGTGATCCTGTTATCAAAATTCAAATTTTCGGGCAGCCTATGACATACTTTATACACATAAACATTATTATTATTTCCTTTAATTCCTAGAGGAACATAGGGCTTCAGCCGCGCGTCTCCATTGCGTTCGGTTCTCTGCTACAGTTTTCACCTGGCTCCAAGTCTGCCGTCATGTTTTCATCTCCTTTTCACATGACTTTCTCCAAGTCACCCTTGCAATGACGACCAAGTAACTCGCCGCTTCCCATTCAGTCGGGTTCCTCTCGAGCGACTGCTTGTCTAGTGATGTCACCTGATGGTTTCCTCAGTGTATGGCCAATCCATCTCCATTTCTTCCTGCTTATTTGTTTCGCAATCGGTTCCTGGTTGGTTGGCTCATTGCCAGAGATCCCTGTTACTGATCATTACTGGAAGACCATCTGATCTTGAGTATTGAGCGAAGACAACTGTTAATGAAGGTCCCTGGTTTGTTTGAGATGCTCTTTATGAAGCGCAGTGCAAGTTTCTGATCCGTAAAGTAGCACTGACTTCACACTGGAGTTGACAATCCGGATCTCATTTATCATGCTCAGTGCTGTTGACCTCCACACACTCTTGAGAGTAATGAAAGCTTGTCTTGCTTTTCCGATTCTGGTTTTGATATCCTCGTCAGTTCCGTTCACCTGTAGTTGAAACGACGCTCCTCAGGTAGGTGGGTAAAGGAGGTTGTTTCTTTCAGGTTCCTCCCATTTATGCTGGCTGATTGTTGTCTGGTTTTGTTGCTGTGGCTGTTGCTGTTGGTCAGGAATCCGCATCACCTCTGTTTTCTCTGTGTTCACCTGAAGTCCTATCTTCTCCGGATGCTTCTTCTGCCAACTTTTACTTTTCACTTGCATATCTTCCAGTTTGTGGGAAATCAGACATATATCATCATCGGCGAAGTCCAGATTTTCCAAGTTTTTGTATGAGTCCATTTTATGCCTGTTTCCTCATTGCCCGTTGTTTGTCGCATTATCCGATCCTTTGCGATCAGGAAACATTCTATGAATTTCATCCCCTTCGATTCAACTACCTTCTAATCGTAATAAAAATTCGAGACACTTTAGTGCCAATGACAAACATTTTATGTGACAGAAATTCCGCTGAATGGTTTGAAAAAAGAGGTAATTGATTAGGCAATGAAATCTGACGGTTAGTTAGTCGTAGTTATAATGATTAAGTGATAAAATGTTTGTAGTGGGGCTTTTCAGCATTGAGCAGAAAAGAGATTGAACTGAAATGAGGCTTGAGTACTCTTGAAATACATATACATATATATACTTATATATATATATATGCAGTCGAGATTTGTAGCTCAGCTGGATGATTTCGATGTAGTTGTGTTCTCTGACCTGGATGGTTTGTCTGTGAAGCTTTTATTGCCCTACAAGGCAACATCTCCAGCACCATTGGGTCGGGTCTGAATGACTGAATGGTCTATAAGTTCTCGTTTCAACCGGAAAGTCCTGAGTTCCAACTCCATAGGGTGCACACCGATGAAGAGTGCTAAACTAGGGCGAAACGGTTGTTCAGTACTCAAGATAAAACCTGTAACTAATCAAAATCCCTGAGGATGAACACATTATTATTTGCCTTGTATGAGCTCATGTATATAGCGAATATTTGAAAACGTACAGGAAAGTAGAATGACAGTGTTAGGTCGAACACTTTGTATCATATGACAATTAGATAATCTAAATTACTTTATTTTTTCGTTTGTAGTTGACGATTTAATACATTCTGACCTAATGGATGCTCAGTATAGTAGTCAGTCTAATTCCGATATGGATTCAAAATATGTACAAAGAAAACTGATCTTATCTTCAGGTCCTTCAAATCATACCCAAGGATTTATTCTTTCTCCTAACTTCCCTCAACCTTATCCACCGTCCACAACAATAGTGTACACTTTCATAGGTCAACCGACAGAAAAAGTGATGGTTAAATTTTTGTATATGCGACTTGGAAATTCTAACAGGTAAGTAACATTTGGTGTGTATTTTAATCAAACTCATAAATGTTGAATAAAACCGGTAAAACTACGTGTGTTGGTGTGCAATTCAGTAGGACTCTTAAGTCAATGTTGGAACAACTGCACACACAAATAAATGTTCGAATGAGTGCATGTGTACCACAGGTGTGACCGGATACTGCATGTTGCACCCATGTACCCAGGAGGTGATCATGGGTCTTATTCTCAAATGATATTCTCCTTCGATACTAGTTTCTGTTGTGTAATAATTCATAAGCACATAACGTCAGTTTTGTCTCGCACTACCTCGCACAAACTTAATGGTTTCAGGTCTGTAGCAGTACTGAGAGGTTTGTAAAACATAGTGTAGATGGGGTTTTTCAGGTACTTTCAAAATTACTTCTTAAAACTGTTTTGAAAAAATCTAACAAGTGACACAGCCTGTTTATTGTGCAAAAACGCTTAATCGTAGGATTTAAAAAAAGGCATATTTCGTCTCACATAATAATGAAGCATATGAAATTGTTAAAGCGCTGTTTGAACAACAACTGCATTCAAAGTTGATCACGAAGTGACGCATTAGTTTGTGAATCACTGGAATCAAATGTGCACTGTACACCTGTTTCAACCATGATCGGGGCCCTACAGCAGTAGGCGTCTCTAATCTTATCAGAGACTCAGAGCCTTCATGTCTTAACTCTCCTGGTATCAACGGTGTATACTGCTATAGAGTCACAAACAAGGATTAAACAGGTCCCGAGTACACCGTGGTTTTCAATGGTCATCATGCTGATGTGGTAATTCGTGATCAGTCTTGAAATCCAACTAAATCTCTGCAAGCAAATTCCTGGAAACGGCTCTTTTGTTTTTATAAATCTTTCAGTTGTGAAAACACTTCAATGGGTGATCGTGTCCAGTTGTTTGATGGCATGAATATGGAAGATCCGTTAATTATTGAATATTGTGAAAACAAGGTGGTATTTCGTAATAGACCTGAAATGCATATAACCACTGAATCAGAGTATTTTCGTTCATCTGGATATATAATGACATTACGATTTAAAAGTGATGGAATGACTGGACCTGATGAACTGGGATTTAAACTGTATTATAATTTTGAACAAGTTCAACATGAGATCAGGTATAATAAAGCATCTAGTACATCCTTGAACCAACAGATTGGTGAAGGTATAAGGAAAAAACCATACAGTGGCTCAAATGCTGGTAAGTAACACCTACATATTATCTACTATAGGTGATGAACTTTAGTTTTTTGTGAAACTATATATATAGTTCGTCATATCAGTTAACACAGGGTTCAGTATCGCAGAAAATAAGATACAAGCTTTGATACGCAGATTATCTTAAGAACTGGCAATCAATCATGCTTCTGTCTACCTGAAGTAAAATAATAAACCGAAACAAGGTGGAATCAGCAAAATTAATTCATCCTCAGATGAAATTGCAACTCTAGGCGGTGTCATAGAAAAGAGCATGAAACGACAATCAACTCTTCAAGTATACTTCATTCACTTTGAAAAGATTTTTGATAATGCCAATTAGAAAGTAATTGGTATACTACTTCACCACTTTGCAGTATTCGAAATCTATATAAACGTCATTTAAAAGCTATGTGATAATCCTGTGTGCCAATGTGTTTACGCAGAAAAGCTCAGTGAACCGTTTGAAGTGTAGACAAGAATAAGATCAACTGTCTACCATCAACGATCTTTCTCGTGACTGTGGTGAGCTGGAGCATGCAGCAGATCATAAGGAGAGGTAAGACGAACAACGGAAGACCAGAGCCTTACGGATGACGTATATCACTATGAATCAGAGGCCTACAGGCGAGAATTAACAAGAGGCGTGAAGCCAAAACAGACCTTAAGGCGAACATTCAGAACACATACATGATGAGAACGCACAGCAAGTAGCAACAAGCAACATTCACCTGCAAGGATGGAGAAAACTGGACGAAGTCGCCTCCTTCAATTAACTGGTCGTTTCAGGTAATGGCAACACAGATGAGGATTCAGAAGGCAGAGTCGTAAAAGCAAGGCTGGCCTTAACTGGTTTAAAATCATTGTAGAAATCGGCTAGATGCAGCATAAGGAACAGGATTCACACTTTTAGCACAGATGTTCTTGTTGTTCGGAGACTTGGTGGGCCATGCGATAAGCATTTTCAACAGCCATCTTTGCTTGATACTGAAGATCAGTTAGTCAGAAAAGGATAATTAACAAGGAACTATGGAGATAAATAAATCAAGAACTTCCCGAGCAACAAAGATAGTAAAGATACGTTAAGTTTACTATGAAGAGAAAGTTAAGTGGATTTACGCACAAACTCCTCCATTGAAACCGGAATTAAGAAATGACAAAATGGGCATATGTCCAAGGGTGGCGTGAAGGTGATCATCCCAATGCATGTGGTTAAATGTGTTGCAGCTATAGAAGACTTCAGGTACCAGGATAAAATGGATATGCATTAATGAATGCCTGCGTTTCACTCGAAACAATTACAATAATATAAAGCTTTGATATGTACAAATGCATATATGTATGCATACGTGTATACCAGCTTTAGTTTATTGTGGGAATACTCTACCCTTTTAAATGAATTACCTGGAAGTGTAATCTACAAAAGAAGGCAAATAAGATCATTAATCATTATTGGCGTATATCTTTGGATATGGAATTACCATGAAGTTATAAAAAAGTTGTTTTACAAAATGTCACTATATGCTACGGTTATAAATCATCTAAGCAATTAACATATAAGGTAAAATCTGAAGGGTCATTTCAAAAACATACAAAACTCAATATAAACAACATGATGACGAACTTTCCTAATCTTAAAGTCAAAAATTATTATAAAATCGAAAGCAAATATTAAAAAAAGATGTTAAGTTTTGTATTATGCAGAGAGAAATTTTGAAAACCACGCTATTATTATTTTATTATTTCCCCCTTGGGTTCCTAGTGGAACATAGGGCTTCAACTGCACTTCTCCACTTATTTCTGTCTTCCGCTGTGCTTTTCATCTGCATCCATGTTAGTCCATAATGACTGATTCAACTCCATTTCACACGATCTCCCCCATGTCACCCTCACACTGACGTCCTACTCACCGCTTATCTTTCAGCCTGGTTCCACTCAAGCAATGGCCTGACCCGCGCGCGATGTCACCCAGCGGCCTCCACAGCGAGTGTCCAATCCATCTCAATCCACTTTCTCCTGCATATTTGTTGGTTGTCGACAGGTCCTTCTTTTGTTTGTTCCCATCCATAGTTTCTTGTTGGTGATTCTTTCCGGCCCGGCCATCTGATCTTCAGTATAGAGCCAGCGAAAACAGTTGTTGGTTGATAAAGGTCTGCAACAGGCTGTTAGAAATATTCTTTGTGACCCGCCCGCCAAGTTTCTGATCCGTATAGAAGAACTGACTGACTTGACGTTTGTGTTGAAAATCTGACCGAATTTTGTTATTGATGCAGCCTGAATGACGAAGATTTCCAGATTGGTTTCGGTTTGATGAATGTGTGTGTTTCTCGCCTTCCCGATTCTCGCTCGATTTGACATCCTCGTCCGTTTCGACTGCCTGTAGTTGAGACAATGCTCCCTAGATAAGTGGTGAATGAAGTAACCGCTTTCAAATCGCTCCTGTTGATGGTGATTGGCGATGGATGTTGCTGCTGCTGTTGTTGTTGTTGATTAGTTATTTTCATAACCTCCGTCTTGTCTATGTTTACCTGGAGTCCTGTCTTTGCAAAACCACGATATGACTCATATAAATCCTGCATTTAACAGCATACATAAAATAATTCTCCTTATATATTTTAAGCATATTTAGAAGAAGGCGATAGCAAATCAATTATCCTGAACCATTCAGAACCATAAATTATACCTAGGGATGTCGCTGATACATAAGATTGAATTAGCGAAAGGTTAATATGTAACAGTTGCTTGTAACTATACCGTAACTTCAGAATGTAATTTTACTCCATGAGATTTATTCATTTTCACTATGGTGTCTTTTCTTTTACTATCTATATAGTTCATACCTTCTGGACCGGTGTCATCTTACCGGTAATAGTGCTAACAACAACAACAACAGTGATCTTAATAAACTATCAAAGATGATTTAATCAACTATTTAAGTTATTCAACTCATTCTACTTCAAATTGCCTCAATACATCTATTTAAGTTGTCCATTGTACAATATACTCAAAAGAAAAGTGAACTAAAGAAGCAGAATCCGCCATATTTTTGATTAATTACATTGACAACAATAAGAACAATCGTAATAGCTGTCGTTCATATGAATGAACCTTAAGCTTTACATTTGTTTGATTCCATCTTTCATTGTCTCTTAACTATTGTTCAGCGCTTGGATGAAATCTCCGTATTTTCTGAGTTAAAGTCATTCCATATATATGTATTCTTAATTGTATATATTTATAAAATCTAGTGTATTACAGTAGATATTACCAACCAAGTTTTTCTAACTTAATGAATTCATACTTGAACAGATGTGTAAATAATTTGCATATTTTGTGGTTTTTCCTTTAATTAGAATGATGAAGTTTTTTTTTTGTTTTTTCAATATACTTTACAAAAGAGATGCTAGAAATACATATCAAAGAATTTACTGACAAGTATTATTATATATCTACTTTCTCATTCATAATTGAACTTGTTGTTCCTATAGTTCTCTTGTTATGTTTGATGTATGTTGAAAGTTTAGCAGTGAATGTAAAAGTCAATACAGGATAAACAAAGGTACCTATTAGCCTACAATTAAACATTGACCATTTCTCAGCAGCATTAGGCGGAAGTTGTGAACGCTGTGGTTCACAAAGTCAGTTGTTACAATAGTTGCTCAATACATGTTAGTGGTTTGAGAGAAAGCTTCTTGTAGAATATACTGAACATAGAACCCATGAACCACTCGAAGTGAAAAAGGTCCTCGCTCTGTGTCATAAAGAATATGCATTTTCACAGCTGGTGGTGTTATCGGCACTCTTCTCTAGAGGAGTTCAAAGTAAGGGAGTTTTATCGATATATATTTTTGTGGTCTTTAGTGGCTTTTTGACTGGTTCGGATTTTTAACCACCACTTTAGAAGGAGCATGTGGTTTAAGTTTGAAATATGAAGTGTGTTTTGCATTTAAACACCCTTTAGTGGTAACTGCTGAACTGGTAGCAATTTTTATATCTTATGAGGTGCAGCTTACAAAATTGACATCTTTTAAATAAACTTGAGAATTACTCGAATTATTTGAGTATATTGGTGGATGGTGACTAGAGGTGAAATCCAGGATGCGCATTTCGTCATATTTGGGACTCGTCATCTGGATGTACCTGCATTTCCCAGTGAGTAATGATGTTCCCACCGAGGCTCGAAGTCAGTCCCTATAGTTTCAAACTCCAACGTGATATCCGCTAGACCATTTTCATCTGAACAAGAAGCCTACATCTCAATCTGAGCCCGAGCACTTCGATTCAATCAATCGTCGGGAAAAGCTAAAATTAAATTAACATGACCTATTGCACAAGACGTGGCTCTCATGGCCCATGTGGTCTGGTGGATAACCCTTTGGAATTTAAAACTGTGGGTACTGGGTTTGAGGCTCGGTGGGAACACCATCACTCACTGGGAAACTCAAGCACATCCAACTGACGAGTCCCGAAAAGGACGAAATGTGCATCCTGAATTCCACTGCTAGCCACCATCCACCAATTAAATACTAATTAAATGCCCAAACATCGTTGAAGCATCTGCGCGAAAAGCCAATATGTCAATATGAGACCGAGTTTATCGGTCCAATCAATCGATGGGAAAATCTAAAATTCACTTATATTTAAGTATACGTTTGAATCATCATTTGAACTCACATATTGAATTCATTGTTTTATAACCACAAAATGACTCGTTTTGGTCAGCAAAAAGATCTCCGCTCCCTACCACATAGCTGATAAAAGTTCTTTGAGACACGCACAGATAAAAAAATTTCCAAACTCATCAAAATAATTGTTATTCTTCGTGAGAAATATGGTTCTGTTCAACAATGAAAACGTCAAAAATTCAAAATCATCTCAACATTTCCGTTAATCAGCTATATAGCCAAGGTTATTTTCTAAGTATAAAACATGAACTGTACAACAAAATCAGTTAATCAAAATGTAAGAAGTACCTCATAGTCAAGTCGAATATTCCCCACAAGGTAGGATAAAACCTCTTTCCACAAGAATCATACACCAGTAATTCCGCCCCCCCCTCTTCCCCAACAAGACAGTCTGTAGTCAAAATGACCCTCATTTACTCAAACAAAATCACATCGTTAAACAACACGTTATCAATATATTGCACAACTACAAAGAGAAATATTAAAATCAGAGACTAAACATATAGGGATAAAGACAAATAATACGCATAAATCAAACTTCGATATGCAAATAGCAAAATAATGATATACAGTCTAGGTGGAAAACGGATGATAACTACAAGGTTAACTGGAACACTCAAAAAGGTATAAATATTTTGATTAGATTTCTGAAGAGGCTATTTAGTTCACAATATTTAACCACTTGACAGTGTAAATGGTATGGAACAAACATCGTATGTTTAAAAAATTGATTTTTTTGATTTTTACAGGAAACTATCTTACACAGGTGATACTAGTCAGTGATGAAACATCTCGGAGAGGGGTGATAACGTCTTGAGATGTCCAGTATTTCTTCGTATGCTGCTAGAATATGCTAGTCAACACTTTATTGATTGCTACATACTAAGTGAACGCAAACGCTCGTAGGGAAATATTGGTAGTGTGGGTATGTGAAATGAACTGAAATTTAATGTATTTCTGTTTGAAACAATACTTCAACAGTTCTTGAACTACTTATAAAAGTTATGTCCTGAATAACTTTGTTACCCGAAAATGGGTCCTGAGATTAGCGGAGATTAATGCCAGCAGTCATAATAGAAGTGTAAGACTTGGATTATTGCTAGTGTTTCAATCCATATGTGTGACAAGGGACTTTCAAGGTGAAACTAAAAGCCTCGAGGATAGTTAGGTATAGGCCACAATGCAAGTTCAACATTCAGTTACTGAAGGTCACAACCACAAAGGACACTTTCACTGCAACTGTCAGAGCAAAGCAGGAAACACTACGTGACATCACGGAAGAATCATGCATGGAAGACTATTGGAACTCTCTGAAGGTGATATTTAACGAAACCTGTTCAACGGTTCTAGGAAGAAAGAAGAGACAAGACAAGGAACGGCTCTCAACGGACACTTGGAAATTAATAGAAGAGAGGAGAATGGTGAAAGACGGACAAGAGAATGAGACACTGACCTCAACGTACACAACACTGGACGAAGAAGTGAAGAAGAGTGCTAGGAAGGACAAAAGACAACTCTACGACAATCTGGCCACTGAAGCTGAGAAGGCAGCAGGCAAAAGGGACCTGAGGACACTATATCAGATAACCAAATCTCTATCCGGGAAGAGACCAACACAAGCGGAACCTATGAAAGACAGCCAAAGGAACCCAATTACCAAGGAAGAAAAACTGATTAAACAGTGGTCAGACCACTTCGAAGGACTCTTGAACCGACCATCACCTGCAACCCGTCCAGAAATACCAACAACAGCACGTACACAACTGCACCTTGACACCAATCCTCCAACGAGAGCTGAAGTCTTGAATGCACTCAAGCTTCTGAACGCTGGAAAAGCAGCTGGACCAGATGGAATACCCCCTGAACCACTGAAAGCAGACCCAGAGACTACAGCAGACACGCTGACTTCATTATTGAAAAAGGTCTGAAAGGAGGGAAAGGTGCCTACTGACTGGAGGTGAGGTTACCTCGTGAACCTACCAAATAAGGGTGACTTAGGACTCTGCAAGAACTGGCGAGGAATCATACTCCTGTCGACGCCAAGTAAAACCCTGAGTCGCATCATCCTGGAGAGAATAAACGATGGACTGGATACGGAACTCCGACCAGAACAAGCTGGCTGGACTCAGGAAAGTCAGGCAAATCATGTTCTGACCAAATTGCAACTCTATGCATCATCATCTAACAAAGCATGGAATTGCAATCGAACCTCTACCTCAACTTCATAGACTTTGAGAAGGCCCTCGATAGACAGTGTTGACCACAAAGTAATTTGGAAACTACCCGAGTACTACAGCGTACCCTACAATATTCATCAACCTAATTCAACAGCTGTACGACAATGGCACACGTCAAGTGATCCACAACGGAAAACTCAGTGAGGCGTTTCGAGTAAACACAGGAGTCAGACAAGAGTGCTTGCCTATTATCACCAATGATACTTTTAATTGTGGTGGACTGACTGGATTATGCGTCAGACAGTGGGAAACAAGAAACGGGACAGGGATATCCAGGACGGACGAGAAGAACCTAGAAGACCTGGATTTCGCGCGTGGATGACTTATGTTTGATGTCACACAAAATTGAAGACTTGCAAGGGAAAACCGACAAACTGGTCGAAGAGGCAGGCGGCGAAGACAGGACTCCAGGTAAACATAGACATGACGGAGGTTATGAAAATAGCTAATCAACAACAACAACAGCAGCAGCAACATCCATCGCCAATCGTAACCGTTTACAATAAGATAGAGTTTAAATTTGAAACTGCCATTCGCACATCTTTAACGTACTGTATTTCATTTGTCTTCCTTTTGTGTTTCGTTGGTTACTTCACAAGGATCTTCTGGTTCTCCTTTATATGTAACTCATCTATCATTCCACTATTCAATATTTTTTGCATACGACATCACACACACACCGTAGGTGTTACAAAATCTTGTCAGCACGTTACGCCACAATGTACTATAGCATTTACATAATTAATGTATCCTAGTTATATCACAATACACTTGAACACAATCTGTATAAGATTTTAGAACAGTATAATTCTTTTATAATATGTGACTACTTTCCTGAAATTATATATCTACTTGTCGTGACTTTAATTTGAACGATGATTTCATGACACTCCTCACAACGCAAGAAGACAGGAAGTATAACAGATTTTAACTGGTTATTTATAACACATGTTCAGCGTGAGCATTTCGTCTAATTTCACCGTTATTTGTAACACTTCCGTTAAAGTTGCATGAAACATTACTGGTGATTTTTCGACAAATACAAAAGTCTCTTCGAGGCAAAATATTTCACACCATAGAATGCGATTGAATACATCATTAAACACATTTTACTGTTATTATTGGTATGGTTATTAGCTTAGAATAACGAAGCACTGAAATCCGTATTTTACACTCTTATTGCAGTAAACAAAACATGAATTAAGGCTATTAAGTGATTGTCTCACAGTTAAGTCAGGCTATTTTAGATTTAAAAATGTGGGTTTTCTGGGATCTGATCGCTTTCAAATTCACTCACGAAATGAAAATCAGCTGTACACAAAGATTACCGGATAGCTGTTCCAACGTAGTCCGTGAATCCTTGGTAGTAGGCATTCATGGTATAATGGTTTCAAATTCAAGGCCTTCAGTTTACGTAGCGAGTCGGTTGACCATTCAACTCGTGGGACATAATTCAGTGACCCATGAGCTGTAACTTTCTCCAGTTTGTAGTGTAAGGGGCGCTACT